TTCACTATTTAGAACTAAACCACAATAATTTACTTCTGAGTCATGCACCAGACGCGATATATCAAAAAACTGTTTCTTGAAATATCAACGGTTGATTTTCTAATTGAAATTTTCCTTCTTTTAAAATCTCAAAGAACAATTCGGCCCCTAGTAACATATCTATTTTGTTAGGTGTTCCAAATTGCGGATCCGCCAATTCAATATCAATGGGAATATATAATGACTGCACATCTAAACACCTTGATGGAGTTACATTGGTTATTTTAGAAATAACCAAGCAATTAACTGATCTTACATATTGTTAAATCCTTATTCGAAATCTGTACATCTAGTTGATAATTAATATTTATAACGTTCTCATTAATTCCGGATACAGATGCATAAATTCTTTCTTTCTTTAAATTTAACAAATTAGCAACTCCTTCACACAGGAAACAACTCATGCTGCCGTTATCAAGTATTGCGCGAACTGGGATTCTTTTTCCTTCGGAATTGCAAACATATATTATTGCAGTCGCCAATAAGACGTTTTTTCTGCCTGTCAAAAGACAACTTGATTGATTTTTATTAGAGACATCTGCGTTCTTGTTTATAATTTCATTTCTTGTTTATAATTTAATTTTCGCTCACTTCCTGTTTTTGTTTTGTCTAATTTATGTTGAGATGGCGCCATTTCTGAGCAGGCGATGTATTAATGAATGGTGTTTTTTATGGCATTCCGAACATCTGAACTTAGAATTGCATTTTGCGATTAAATGCTCGTTACTGAGACAGTTTAGACACAATTATGGTTTTAACTATTTCATATCTTTGATTTGGATTTAATTTCAAAAATGAATAACATTTATGCAGTGGATGATTATTATTTTTGCATATAACACAAATCGAAACACTATCGGTTTTAACCATCAGAGCCTTTGATTTCGAATTTTTTTCTAACGGATATTTCATTTTATTAGCATTACGGTTAATGTTATCCAATAACTGACATCTTTTCTCTAAAAACGAAATTAATTCATCAAACGTAGGAACTTCCGTAGCATTAATGCTGAGTTCAAGTTGTTTACGCGTTTCAAAATCTAGTTTCTGAAGTACGATATTTAATAACAGAATATCCGATAAATTATTTTTCTCATATTTTAAAACATTCAAAGCCCTAACGTTTTTAGTAATATTATCTATTACATATCTTATTCCTTTTGACGATTCGAATGTTAAAGTACGTAAATCCATTATTGACTTTAAATGCGTCTCAACTAATATTCTTTTATTTTCATACCTATCTTGAAGAGCTTTAAATAGAGAATTAAAAGTATCATCAACAGTTTCAAGATTTTTTGCTTCATCAGTTAATGCAGCCTTTAAATAGTAGAGTTTCTGAACTTCTGTTAATTGCGTGTTATTCGCTATGATTTGTTTTCGAATTGAAGCTTAAAAATTATTCCATTCGGTATATTTACCAGAAAACTTAGGAATTGGTAATTCTGGCAAACGTATTTGTACTTTAGGATCAAATTTACTACAATCATTTTCATTTTCAGAATGTGCTATAGATGATAGAATTTCCATAATTCTTACCTCTAGAACTTCCGTTCTTTCTTCCATTTCGGCGATTTCTTCATCGATGGCTGTGACATTTTTTTCATCAACGCTTTCGAAATATCTAATCCTCAAGTTTCTAATATCCATTTGAATGCTTTGAAGGGATCTATACTTTATTTGAATTTCATTCTTATTCGAACTATCATCATATTCCTTCACTACATTTTCTAACCTAGTTAGTTTCGCTTTTAACGAAGTTTTGTTTCTATCTAATGCCAGCATTTTGTTCATTTCTCCGGCTCGACGGACCATGTACTATGATTCTAAACTAATAAGTGGACTGTATAGCAAAAGAACTAACTAATTTATTTACAGTAACTAACTATTCAGATCTAATACATGCTCTGGCATGTTGCTTAGCCGAATCCAGATGGCCAAGTGAGAGTTTCTCTCCCTATCCAATAGGTGGCGCTATATTCTAACTTAACACAATTCTTTCTCGCAATTTTGTTTTTAAATTATTGATTTCATTTGACACTTCCGTGATTGAAATTTTGTCCCCTTCAATAATTTTCACAGCATTGTGAAATAATGTAGCTTGGTTTGCATGAACTGAAGCTAAATTTATCATGTGTCATTTTCAAAAAAGAGCTGCATTATTCTTGGACATTTATCTTGTGATAAAAGGCACGATTTTAAATGGTTCGCGTATTTTAAAAATATTTTCTACAGCTGGTAGAAGAGCTAGCCATCGTGTTTTGCTGTAACCAATAATTCTTTAATATTAGGTTTCTGCGTTTTCACAAAAATCCTTCAAACTTTCGACACGCACAGTATATATATAAAAATACGAATAAATGTTTGGAATAATATTTTCAACATCCACTGGAAGCAAGTGAGATTCTGTTTGAATAGTATTGTGTAGAATGTGCGCTGCACAACCTACTCGAATATTTTTTTGGTTCAAACGTTCGTTAAGTTTCGTAAAAACGTTATTGATGCCTCTTTCTAGCTTTTCCACCAAAATTTTCATTAGTACTATCCTCACCATAGGCAATAATAATTGTTCAAATTATTCTTTTTTAAAATAGTACTTATTGAATCAAAAATTATTTGTGAAATTTCACCTGGCAATGAAAATAAAATCTAATATTCTAATTTTAATTTCTGTTTCTGGATCAAAAAGTCTAACAATTGTGAGGAAATAATTTTAAAGTATTTGTGGTTGGAAGTATCATAATATATGGGTATAAATGTGCATTTAATCTAATTCTTTTTGCAATTGTGAAAACTTATATAGTGAAAAAACATTATAAATAATTGATCTGGTTTTTGTCCTTGCACATGCAAATTTTTTGTCGTACAATGTTTTGATCATTTGCAACGTACAATCAATTGATCTGAAACTTTGATTGTGATTTATAGCGAAATAGCTCTTTAGATAATGTTTTTTCGTTAACAATACATATTCCTTGACGAGACGTAACGACAATGATCGAACACCGCCGAGTAAATCTAACTCGTTACATCGCCTAATTTAGTTTACTCTGCATGCGTTTTATATGTTTTTTTATTTCTTTATAGTCACTATAATAATTAATAAATAATAGATAATATATTTTTGCAGTACATTTAAAATAAATGCAGATGTTTTCTAAAAAGCGGGACGCGGTACAGTCCTCCAAAAAGCGGGACTGTCCCGCCAAAATCGGGACGTGTGGTCACTTTAGTGTATTACGAACCTGTAAGCAACGCAACATTATTATATCAAATTTCCGAAACTGTATATTCAAAGCGATTATGTCAATCTTTGAATGACACTGAGTTAGTTTTGTTTATTACATAATTTTCTTATAATTTATTGCTTTTTTTTTTTTTTTTTTTTTTTTTTTACAATAAGTCTTTATTTAAAATGGATGCGATAATTAATGCATTAGAAGAAGAAAACAATTTATCGTCTAGGTTAATGCGAATACTAGTTCAAGTAATTTTGTTTACAGAATTCATCTTTTATATCTCGAATAATGAGAGTGGGGAGCCTATGATAAAGTAAAAAATCTGATGTGGACACCACCTGACTTCCTTGTATGGCCTATTAAATTATGCACATTTTTGGATGCATATCATTTAAACTTATTTCCTCGAATTTCATTAGACATATAGTTCTCATTCAATTAATTCAGTTCCCAAGAAAGCAACAATACATAAAATCTTAATACATCTTCATTAAAATTTATAAAATGTAGAAAAGCATAAAACACCAAATGCGGTTAAAACGTTAAAACAGTTAAAAAAAACAATTTTTACAATTAAAATTAAAGCTGCTACCCCAAAACAAGCAGTTCGGATTAGAGTTCGGATTAGTTCAAGTAGAAGGCAGATTTTTTGATGTATAAAACTGAAATTTTACGTTTTGTCCCACTCAGCAAAAAGACGTTGAAAGTGCAGAAATTGACTTAATTCACTCTTCTACTGAGATGTAAACAAATGGCGGTACATTAGGCTTAACGCGTTTCTTAAATTTTTAAATTGTTGATAATTCTATAACTATTGCATGCAAATTAACTAAAGGCATAAAATCCTCAATCAGGACATAAAAGCAGCATAATTCAATCATTTTTAAAGCAAAAAATGCACAATTTACCAACATAACTAATTTCATCGAGCTGGTAACAGAGTGGGGATATATATATAAATAAGATTAGTGTAGCCGATTTCAACGAAAAAGGGAGGTGCACAACTACATGTTACAGCAGTGCCATATACAAAATTCCATAGTTCTTGAGTTTATGCGAGATACATACATACGTACGTCGAGGAAAAAAATCTCTTTTGAATCCAATTTAAATCCAGTTTACAATCCTTTTTGGCAACAGTTCTTTATTCTGTCCGTACGTACAGATATCACGCAAAAACATCGTTCAAATAGTTTTGAGAGCGGTTGAAATGGATATTTTCATTGAAATGTGATACTCGAAAGTTTTCGTGATTACAATACTTCGTACAAGGAAGGAAAAAGGCGATGGCTTTATGCATTTAACAGGGCAATTAAATTAATAGGAGATTCGAAAAGATAATTGTTTATACATTTGAGAATGCAATTAAATTAGTAGATTTTGTTATTCAGGCGCCTCACGCTTTTAATATTCGAGATGTAAAATTGTAGATGAATTCTGTTAATAGAATTACTTAATCTATTAGTCCAATTAAACTCTAAGATAAAACATTTTCTTCTTTTAATGCATTAATTATCATACCCATTTTAAATTAAACCTTGTTATATAAAAAAACTTTTTTAATTGTAATTTATCTAATCAAGTGTACAGTTAACATTTGAATCATTAATCCTTAAATACCGTCAACTCTTATTTAGTTGAAGATAGTTATCTTCTTGATTTCTTTGTGATCGGAGAGGAGCAGCTATCACCAATACTCTTTTTTTTTCCAGACTATTTTGAAGAATTCTTATGACTTTTTAAAAAAAGAAAGGGGAAAAACAAAATAACAATCTGAATTGCTATGGTATGGAAACAGCTGCCCTATGTTTGAGCGAGGAGTCTATAGCACAGATTAATTCACGTTGTCTGGAAACATGGACTGAAATGCGAGAGTCAGTGCTTTTACCTGATGCTGTGCTTCACACAGAAGATGGAGGAGCATTTTCGATCCACAAGTAAGAATGTTAAAAGAAAAGTAATAATTCTCTAAAATGTAATAAAAAGTATTAGTTTTGAAACAGGATAATGTAGAAGAGTTGCTGCCAAAATTCACTTTTGATTATTATAATTGTTTATAGTCCATGATCAGGAAATTATTTTTAAAGAACATATCAGGCTTAAGATAGTACTATTGAGTAATGTGCTTTGATTTTAAATGGCAAACGGTTTATATAAAACATATGTTAAAGTATGAAACGCCAGCATTCTATAGAATGCCTAAGCATTGTATACAACGCCGGACGATTTTAGGCAAAGTATGAAATATGAGAATTATTACATGCTTTCCCTAGGCATTGTATATAATACCTAGGCATTCTATAGAATGACAAATGCTCTTTAGGAAAAGTACGAAAAAAAGGTTATGATAAGGTTATTATTTAAAAGAGGTCATTCCTCAGAAATACAAATGCTATTTTGAAAAATTAATTAGTGCCATTAAAAAATTATTTTTCGACATATGCAACAAAATAGTAAGATGATATTGATACAACGCGGACAACGGAAATTATATTCAGAAGCAATTATATGTTTCACATCAAATGGCCTTTTTTTAATACCTTTTTGTTTTTCTGGAAGGGTGCACAAAAGCGGCTGTACAGCTCAATAGCATTATGTGCAAAGTTTTTGTAATTTGTTGAACATTCTTTCAACTTTCTGTCACGTCCGTGTCCAGTGCTCAAATGAGGTTTCATGAAATACGGAAAATAACTCAACGTACTGCATAGTACCTGTGTTGTATTTTATATGTGTTGGTTACGTGCTCAGTGATGATTACAAGATGTACACAAACATCGTTTATTCTACATTGCTCATCTACTATACTATATTTATGGTTAAAGATAATAATAGATACAGTTACAGTTACATATATAACATCTCCCTTTTTTATAAAAAATAATAATAGTAGTAAAATTAAACATATTCTTTTAAATAATAAGGTTTCTTAACAGTCCTACCAGATCGAGTGACGTAGTTATGTCCATTTGAAAAATTTGATGATACTATACCTATTTTGCTATTTGGTGACACAACACTTCTGTTAGATTTTGAAGGACTTACAGGCACATCTAAATTTGTAGTGCTCCTACTATTTTCATGTATCTCGGGTTCATCTATAACTTCATTCTCATAGTTGTTTTGTATTTCAAACTCTTCCTGATTACTTCCTTTAAGAAGGTCTCTTCTGTTCCTTTCTACAGTTCTTCCATCTGTTCTTATAATCCTATATGAACGTGGTCTTTTTCTGCTTCTCTCTATAATTTTCCCTCTTTCATTTAGTTTTTTCCCTTTCTCTTTTATGTAAACATGATCTCCTGTTTTCAGTGGTTTTAATCCTATCATAATAACTTTTTTGTAAGGTTTGTCTCTTCAGTAAGTGTTGTTTATGGTCTTCATATCGTTTAGCTTGGATGAAATTCTCTTTTATAGGCATCAATCCATTTACTTTTCTTCCAAACATCAATTCTGAAGGTGACTTAATTTCATCTGAAATAGGAGAGTTACGATATTCCAGTAAAACTAAATATGGATTTTTGTTGTCAACTACAGCTTTTTCTAACATTCGCTTGACAGTTTGAATATGTCTTTCAACCATTCCATTAGACTGTGGGTATTTTGGACTTGAAGTTCTGGTTTCAAAATTCCATCTTCTTGCAAAATCTTTATATTTCCTGCAATTATATTGTGGACCATTATCCGAATATACTATTTTCGGAATACCATGTCTTGCAAAAATTGATTTCAATTGCTTTATCACTGCTACACTTTACAAATCTTCCAAATGTCCAATTTCAACATATTTGCTATAATAATCTATAACTATTAGATAATCCTTTCCTTGAAAGTAAAAGAGGTCTGTTCCCAATACTTCCCATGGACCATTAAGTATTTCTTTAGATATCATTGGTTCTTTAGTGTTAGCTTTTTGTAAACTTAAACATGTTTGACAATTCAGTACCAAATCTTCAATTTCTTTGGACATTCCTGGCCAATATAATATTTCTCTTGCTTTGATCTTGCATTTTACTACTCCTAAATGACCATAATGAATTCTGCTTAACATATTTTTTTCGTAAACTTCTTGGTACAACAACACAGGAATTTTTAAATATTAATCCATTTGCTTCTGATAGTTCTTCTCTGAAGTTAAAATATGGTTTTGCCAGTTCTGGAACCATACATTTTTCATCTGGCCATCCAGTTTTAATTAATTTTCTTAAAACTTGTAGTTCTTCATCTTTTTCTGTTTCCAGTTGAAAAACTTCCATTTTACCATTAGACATTGGTATACATTCTACAACTAATCCAACATGAGCTTCTATTTCTCCTTCAAAGAAATCAGATCCTTTATCAGTGAATGATCTTGATAATGCATCCGCTATAAAAAGTTCTTTTCCTGGTTTATATTTTATCTCAAACTGATATGGCTGTAATCTTATACGCATTCTTTGTAGTCTTACAGGGCATTTATTTAATGGCTTTTTAAAAATTGATTCCAGTGGTTTATGGATCACTTTCCACAGTAATATTTTCCAAATATATACTGGTGAAATTTCTCACACGCAAATACAATAGCTAAAGTTTCCTTTTCAATTTGAGCATAATTCTTCTGTGTATCTGTTAATGCCTTAGATGCATATGCCACTGGTAAATTATTCTGCAGTAAGACTGCTCCTAGTCCTTCTTGAGATGCATCTACAGATAAAACTACTGGCATGTTTATATCATAATACTGTAAAACTGGTTTATTTACCAAGACATCTTTTAGTCTTCTAAATGCTTTTTCATGTGTTGCATTCCAGTTCCAAATAACTTGTTTTTTCAACAAATCTCTTAAACATGATGTCAATTCTGATACATTAGGTATAAATCTAGAAACATATGTAATCATTCCTAGGAAAGTTTCTAATTCTTTCACATTTTTTGGTGGTTTTATATCTAGAATAGCCTTAATTTTGTCTTCATCTGGTTTTAAACCATCTTTAGAAAATATATGTCCCATATATTTCACTTCATTCAGCCCAAATTTACATTTATTTAAATTAAATTTAACATTCTTTTCTCTGGCTCTGTCCAACAACTTCTTTAATCTTAAATCATGTTCTTTTTTATCTTTACCCCAAACTAATAAGTCATCTATATATATTTGAACTCCTTCTAAATCACTAAAAATTTCAGAAAAACTTCTGTGGAAAACTTCTGGTGATGAACTGAGTCCATATGGCAACCTCAAAAAACAATATCTACCAAACGGGGTGTTAAATGTAGTAAATTCACAACTTGAATCTGACAATTTAATTTGCCAAAATGCTTTGTTTGCATCTAAAATACTAAAGACCTTTGAATTTGTCATTTGAGATGAAATTTCTTCAAAGGTTGGTATGTGATAATGTTATCTCAGTATATTTTGGTTAAGGTGCTGAGGATCTAAACACACTCTTAAATTTCCATCCTTTTTCCTTACTACCACTAATGAATTCACGAATTCTGTTGGTTGGTTAACTTTCTTTATAATACCATCTTTTTCCATTCTTGCTAATTCCTTTTTTAATGGATTTAATAAGCTAAGTGGAATTTTCCTACAGGGTTCTATTTTACCAACAGCTCCTGGTTTTAATTTAATATGATATGTATATCCAGTTAAATTCCCAGTTCCTTTAAACAAATCTTGATATCCTTTTAAAAGTTCTGGTAACCTTTCATTAGAATCAGGATTTACTGTAAAAAATCCTTTGTATTAGGTTTAATTTTTGCAATGTAGGTAAACCTAAAATAGCTGGAACAGTTTATCACATGCTACAACTTGAAATTCTATTTCATCCTTGACCCTTTCGATGTTTCACATAATAATTTACATTTTCCAACTACATCAATCGTAGTACCATTGTAATTATTTAAAGTGACTTTTGATTTAGTCAAACATTTCTCTCTTAAATTTAATTGTTTAAATTTAGGCAATGGTAGCACATTACACTGAGCTCCAGTATCCAACTTAACAAATAAATATTTAGATATGTTTACTTTTAGTTTTTCAAACCATTCGGTTTTATTTTTAGAAAATGGATTTGTTATCTTCTACTGACCCTAAAATATATTCATTACCATTATTATGTAACTCATGCTCTAAATTATTCTGTACAACATTAACATTTTTATAAGTGCACATTTTAGAAAAGTGATTTTTCTTTTTACAGTAGTACAAGCAAATCTTATTATAAGCAGGACAAGTTGTATAACTTATGAAAAGTTCCACATTTTCTACATGGTTTTGGATTTATTGTACTTATTTCCTTGATAGTTTGAAGAAGATTTAGTACTTTGTTGCTTTTGTTTCTACATGAAAGTCTTTCTTACAAGGCTGACGTTTTTCCTCTGAAGGTCGAAATTTATTACGTTTGATAGCTTCTATTTTATTTTCTTTCAGTTAAAAGTTTTCAGCTGAAGTTCTGCTAATTCAGAAGCTTTACACATTTTAATACATTTCTCCAATGTTAACTGATCTTCCCTTAATAATCTATCTTTGAGATTTTTATTTAGAATTCCACTTACTATTCTATCCCTTATTAAACTATCTTTTAATTCTGCAAATCCACAGTTGCTACTTAATTTCTTTAAATCGGTTAAAAGAAATCATCAAACGATTCACCTACATGTTTGTGTTCGACAGAAAAATATATGTCTATGCACTTTCGTTTGCTTTCGGTATGCAAAAATTTTCGAAAGCTTCAATTACTTTGTCAACATCCTTCTTAACTTCTTCACTTAAATTAAAAGTATTAAATTTTTCAAGTGCTTCTTCACCAATTATATGCAATAAAATAGCTACTTTAATTTCAGGTGATTTAGTAATACCACCAGACGCTAACATATAAATTTGGAATTTTTGTTTCCATTTCTTCCAATTTTCGCTTAAATTTCCTTCGAAACTTAGATTACTTCGTGGCTTTAATCCATC